CATTCCACGGTTCACGTCAATTTTCAAACGGGTTGTGTCAAATGTTATGGTTAATAATCAGACGCAATTTCAATCCAATGCAATATGATGTTCTTGAGTTATCGTCTCCACAAAGAGTGTTGTATTTTTGTTTCATGGGCAGATTGTGATATCCGCATTGACGGTGCTGACCAGTGGTTGTGTAGGGCGCCCTCTTCAGGACAAAAATCACAGAGGGGTAGTAAAATGTACGGAGCGCGCACTGTTGGCCGTTGACTAATTATCGAACGAAGTTTCGTTTCAGTACAAATTGATTTTCTGGAGTTACTGTCTCCAAAAGAGTGCTTCATTTTTTTTCAATTAGAATAGACGTAGATTCAGATTCGGAATGAATTTTTCGTAATTCTAAGCACTGCTTTCCTTTAATCATATTAAATGTATTCTTCCATGGTTCACGCCAATTTTCAAACGGGTTTGTGTCAAATGTTATGGTTAATAACCATTCGCAATTTGAAACCAATGCAATATTTTGTTCTTAAGTTATCGTCTCAACAAAGAGTGTCAAAAGAGACTAAAATTCGGCATGAACTTTTCGTGATGAAAACGCTTAGGCCTATTTTCTTTAAATCATTATCAAATGTATTCTTCCGAGGTTCACGTCAATTTTCAAAGGGGTTGTGTCACATTGTATGGTTAATAATCGGACGTAATTTCAATCCAATGCAATATGTTGTTCTTGAGTTATCGTCTCAACAATGTGTGTCAAAAGAGACTCAAATTCGGAATGAAGTTTTTGTGATTAAACGCTTAGGCCTATTTTCTTTAAATCATATTAAATGTAATCTTTTTTGGTTCACGTCAGTTTTCAAAATGGTTGTGTCAAATGTTATGGTTAATAATCTGACGCAATTTCAATTCAATGCAATATGTTGTTCTTGAGTTATTGTCTCAACAAAGAGTGTCAAAAGCGACTAAACTTCGGAATTATTGTTCGTAATTGAAACGCTTAGGCCTATTTTCTTTAAATCATATTAAATGTATTCTTTCTTGGTTCACGTCAATTTTCAAAAGGGTTGTGTCAAATGTTATGGTTAATAATCTGACGCAATTTCAATTCAATGCAATATGTTGTTCTTGAGTTATTGTCTCAACAAAGAGTGTCAAAAGCAACTAAAATTCGGAATTATTGTTCGTAATTGAAACGCTTAGGCCTATATTCTTTAAATCATATTAAATGTATCATTCCACGGTTCACGTCAATTTTCAAAAGGGTTGTGTCAAATGTTATGGTTAATAATCTGACGCAATTTCAATTCAATACAATATGTTGTTATGAAATTGATGCTTGAAAGAACCACATAAGTGAAGTGACTGAGTTCAATTATTTTTTTTTGGTATCGAAAATATCGTTTTCCTTCATTTTGCAAGAAAAGGAAATCCTATTACAACAACAACAATTCGAAGGGTTTTTTTTCCATTTCATTTTTCAAACACTTTATTTGACAAATAGTGGCTGCATAGCACCAACCGGGCTATTACGCAAGGCATTCACAGAAAATGTTGTTTTAACATTTTTTTATTCAAAGTAATTACTTTTAAAAAAGATATATATTTGAAGTCATGTATTGCCTGCATGGCGAAATTGTTTGATCGAAAACTCAAGAATATTTCTCTCTTTGAAGTGGGGCTAAAAGAAAGCTGTGTTTCCTTATACAGGTTGTCCAACAAAAATCTAACAGTCCAATCGGGCATGTTTTCAGAAAAGTGGGGTTGTATTCAAAATCGTGTCTAATGTATTGCTGAGAATAATTGGTCTTCCAAATGCTTTTTAGTTAGAGGATGTTTTGTTCAAAGATACAGCAATCACAATGCGGGACTTGAAAAACCACTTGGGCCACTCTTTTTATTCATCAAGCTTACAGATCGAAGCCGATAAAAAAAGTCACACATTACTCTTGAACAAAGTAAATAAATCGTTTGTGTGTCTCTCTAACTGCGCTTTCTTACTTTCAAGGAAAGTGGCCAAAGACGATTTTCAACCCTTGAGTTCGATGAAGCATAGCGTTTGTTCCAATGCATTGATTTGAATGAAATAAAGTTTGTATGGTAGATTGGTTATCAGACTTTAAGAGGTAATTTGAAAATATTCCAAAACCCACACGCAATATACTTTTATTATTGGTTTTCGACTGTTTTTTTTGTGTGGAACAACTTGTACACGGGGTCCGACTTGTACAATTTTGGCGAATATTCCGTCCACACACACTGTACTGAGAGAGTACACGATTATCAAACACGCTGGAGAAAGGAACCCGGCTAGCCTTCAGTCAACAGCCCATCTCCACCCCGTAAACAAGACCATGGATTGACTTCTCAAAGAGCATTAATTAGTCGACTCATTCACGCTGATTATGAAGAAACATTACAAGTTGACTAGTACAAACCCTTGAGAATGAAACTATGGACCAGGCGATTCTGAGTGAATATCACTCTGATTTTAGATTGAAATACTCTGAAAAAAAAATCAATCCAGTCCAAACTCGAGAAAAAAATCGATTTTGTTCGATTGAATGAGTTTTACTCTAAAACGTCTGGTGCCACGTTTCAGTGGGTGGGAAAGAATTTCACTCGATAAAATGGTGAATTTTAATCTTGGGAAATTAGAGAGATATACAAAATAAGACAGAAACGCGCCTGCGGTCAAGCAAGTGGGCATCAATGTAATTTCATGACAGATGAGTTTGAAGGGCGTACAGATGATATTGTTATGCAATTCTTGAAGTGCGGGACCACAAGAATAAATCACGCAAGTTGAACAACAGATCATTATTGGACCACTCAAAATTCCCACAACTCGCTCCAAAATTTCCGTGCAAAATGCTATCCCGGACTCGAAATCTCCAACTATCAATTTACATATGCACATATATCACAACTCAATCACAATATAATAAGATAATTCTTCGCCCGCTTATGTTGCATTATATCCAGACAAAACATATCTGTTATAATTTGTTATATAAATTATTTCTTACTCTGTTATTTGCAGTCAGATGCTGTATGATAATGAGCATTTTTGGGAAGACAGAAAAAGCAGTTTGAGTAACCTTTTTGCTTGAATTTATGAATACAACGTTACACTTTTTGTCTTTGAAGTTTAAACTACTTCATACATTCTGTCCCCTCCCCAAATAAATACACAAAATTATAATTTATAAATTATAATGATTATAATGAACAAAATAGTCAGTGATCACCTTCCATTCAAGTTTTGGAGATTTAGCTTCAACTTCAAACTTTTATCAACGTCACACTCAGGGTGACCGTTTTAGCCGATTTTCGGCTAACTTTGACAGAATTTTTGTTAAAAAAAACGAGTTTGACAGACAATTTGACAGAATGGATTTTTTTGGCAGATTTCTGGCAGAATTCTGCAAAAATGGTTATTTGACAGAAAAACAGCAAATTTGAACAAAAAAGTGTACATTTGTTTTAAAAAAAACTTCAATCCTTTCAACAAACCCTTGCATGATGGGACAGGTTGGCTGGTCTAGGTGCTGAGGTTCACTGGGAAACGGACTTTGTCGTGGACGGAGCCGCGTTTTGTCCGAAATTTACCAATAATTTCACAACATCTTTTTGTGACTAGATTGTTTATTATGTAATTTGAATCTTAATTTAGGCAATATTACCAATCTGCATGTGATTTTAAGTGTTTATAGTGTATTTCGAGTGATTCTTGGGAATTTGGCAGATTTTTGATATATCTGACAGATTTTTGATAAATCTGACAGATTTTTGATGTGCATTTAGCAGAATTTGGCTCTGACCTTTCGGTCACCCTGGTCAAACTTCTTTGCCTTTTTTCCAAATAACACAATCAAACAAATCAAACACTCGCCACAAATTTAAAAAAAAACCTAGTGTACAACTCCTTGATCTCTCACGAGTGTGATAACATTTGATTCAAACACAACTTCGGTTAATACCAAAAATGTGTTTTTATAATTGCATGTTGCCCATAATGTTGATTAGTAATGAAACCAACGATTTTTAAAAATTTGAACAAGGTGTAAGCTTTCTCGTGAAGATATGCAAGAAGCCTTTTGCATGTTAAGTGGCATTTGATTGCAGTTATACGTTTATAAAAGATGCTCAAAACCAACCAATACTTATGTTTTGGTTGCCAATTTCCATGTTAGCCGATTGGGGCGATTCACAATGCAGTGCGCCACCAAGAATGTGCCACGGAGAGTTCATTTCTCAAGTTTAAGGTCGACAAAACATGGCCCATTTGAATGAGTGTCAGTAGACAACTTGAGCTAATTCTTTATTGATTGGGGCATACCATTCTGCCGCCTTACAAAAAAACCATGCTGATAAAAGGAAAAGAAAAGGGCAAACATATTCTTGAATCATACGCTTAGGAAACTACTGACCGGAAAAAGTAATATTTTCAAACGTCCTGCGCGGCGAATTTGTCGACCATCTCCCACAATGCAATGGGAAAAATTAACTCTCCATGGCAAACTCTTGGTGGCGCACTGCATTGTGAATCGCCCGAATTGTGATGGCCAACTTTGTGGCCACTTATAACACTCAAACTTCTAGGGACCAACTTGAAGTTGCAGGCACAAGAAAAAAATAGTTATTCCTTTCAAACAATAGAAAAATGCATCGGTTTCAACCAGCTGCAGTTGTATCGTACGGTAGCAACTTTTAGCGACTATTTTTTAGAGGCCAATTTTGGAGGCCAACTGGATAAGCTTTGGTGTCAATTTTGTGTGTGTGTGGTAAGTTGGCAGCTTTTGGTGGCCAATTTTTAGCAGCCACTGTTTGGAGGCCAACTGACCAGGATTTCGTTTTAGTTCATTCTTTTGAATCTTTTGGTGGCCAATTTTTAGAAGCCATTTTTGAAAGCCAACTGACCACAATGTCATTGCAGTTCTTTTTCAAAGCAACCTTTGGTAGCCCCATTTTAGAAGACTTTTATTGACAAGATTTGGTTTCAGTTCTTTTTAGCAACTTTTGGTGGCCAATTTTTAGCAGCCACATTTTGGAGAGGAACTGACCAGAAGTTGGTTTCAGTTCTTTTTGTGGAAAGTTTGGTCATTTTTAGCAGCCCATTTTGAAGGCAAACTGACAAGGGTTTCAAATTAGTTCTTTTGTTGCAATGTTGGTGGGAAATGTTGGTGCCCACTTTTTACCAGCCACTGTTTGGAGGCCAACAGACCAGGATTTGGTTGCAATTAATTTTGTAGCAAATTTTAGTAGCCAATTTTAGCAGCCACTTTATTATGACAAACTGACCAGGATATCATTTTGCTTCTATCTGTTTGCAACTTTGGTGGGTACTTTTTTGGCCACTTTTTTCAGCCACTTTTTACAGGCCAAGTAACAAGGATCTGGTTTCAATTTTCATTGTAACAACTTGATGGCCACCTTTTAGAAGCGACTTGTACGTCAACTGGAAGCAAAAGCCACAGACATCAACAAATTTGAAGCCATCAGACCAACGTGAATCCTTCAGTGTTCTCGATAGCCATGAGGAGCTTTTCTCGCAGCCGTGCCTTGTCGGTGTAAATCGGTAAGTCTAGCAGATTGAAGCACGTGTGAGCTACGGGGAAGAAATCCTCACCCCCTTTGACTGTCTGGATGATGGTTTGTAAGGTCTTCATCCCCTGGATGGGGACTCGGTCAGTTCCTGTCAGAAACACTGTGATAAAACACAGAAGGCGCAGTGACAATTTCAACAAAGGTCAAACTTCATAAGCAAACAACACTGTTGAGCAAATGTTGACTAATCCGGTGAATAAAATTAGGAGCCATTTTTGAGGTACCGTAGTGCGACACCCACGCGCGCACATGCAGCATGCGTTCAGAAAGATAAGGCACGCGCCTTTTGGTAACCCTACTAGTCGAAGTGCATGCATACTACCTGAGCGCAAATGCCGTTCCACCACAAAATGGTTTCCAATTGTGTTCGCCTAATTAGTCTGTATACAGGGTAAGTCAAAAAAAAGGAAACCCAAACGGCAGGACCATGGTTTGACTAAAGGCGTTCACACTTTCAGATATGCACAAATCCAAATAGCCAAAATCAGTCGCTATCTACTCACCAAGAAACTTCTTTTTCTTTTGAAGACTCATCTCACGGAAGACGTCCCAAAACATTCGAATTGTTGGATGCTGTCTGTAGTACTCACCTTTATAAGTCACATTCTATAGAAAAATGAAATGGAAACCAAAAAACTTGATCAGAGTTTATCCTAGCATTCATTTGGATTAAGATATCATTTCATCACCAACACCTTGCTGACGATACCCCGGTAAAGAAGGCACTTATCACCACAGAGGCAGAATTCCCCTGGCACCTGGCTGGTCAAGACCCAGAGGACGACCCAGGACATCCTGGGTCAAGCAACTGGGACCGCCCAGCAACGTTGACAGGCTCTGGAACCAGGCTACAAACCGCGGACACAGGAGATCAGCGCGACGGACCCCAAATGTCTATGCGGTAGAGTGAGTGAGTGAAAACAGCGATGATTTTTGTTTTCATTGTAGCAATCTTTAAGTGTGTCATTTAGCTGACGTCGGCGACTGAGCTAGAATAACATAATTGTTTTGGGGGGTAGGGGGGTTTAAAGGTATAGTCCATCATTTGTAATTTGTATATTTTGTTCGGTTGAAGCAACAAAAGTGCTCAAAATCTAAAGAAGGGTGCTGAACAACTAACCTGATGAAGTTTCAGCTCAGCTTCAGCTGTATATTTTGAGATAAACAGCATTCTAGGACCTCGATTTCAAATCAAAAGTTGCTGAATCATGTTTTGAATTGGGCCTGAATTCAGCGTCCGAGACCCGTTCTCTCTGAGCCATTTGCAGCTATGCGATGTCGCGCAGCCGCGCGCGCGTGTGCGTCGTGCCAATGCTTCGCCGAATAAAAAAACGAACTACTAACAAAAATTCTTCTTTCGTTGATTTCTTCAAAATGACAGCTTGCCAGAAAGAATAATTTGACAGGGAGTTTAGTCCCCTTACTATCTTTCAACCATGTTTGTCAACAATAATTACATCAGTTACTTTTTGGATAGTTGCAAATGATGGACTATAGCTTTAAATATTTTTGCGCCAAATAAATTGAACATTTCACTCCATATGCATGTCTGTGCCAAATCTCACGGAAATGCTTACCAGACCAATTATACTTAGCCGTTTTGCTACCCCCCCCCCCAAAAAAAAATGAATGCACTAGTATGCATGTATAACATTATAAAGTAAACTTGATTTGGGGAGTGTGGTCTAGTGGTTAGGGTTTGTGACTCATGATCAGAGGGTCAGGGGTTCGAATCCAGCTACTGGCCATATAATGAGTCCATAAAAGAACTTGCTAAAGACAAGCAAAGCAGACCCAATTTCACAAAGCCCTGCGATGCGTCGCAACCCGAGTTACACTTGCGATGTGTTGAATGCTCAAGTTCCTTCACAACGGCTTAAAACACGTCATAAGTTACGACGTTTCTAGTGGTCAACGCAAAATAAGAAGCGTCCTTTTCTTAGCCAGTTTTATGCCATAAAAAATACATAAACGAGACTATAACAGAGCTGCCAACATTTGCATCGTGCAATCAGGGAGATTTTGTACAACAATCAGAAAGATATTTAGAATTACATTCAATATAATAGGGGAAAAAAGTTTCCATAATCAGGGAGATTTTCAAATGTGTTCATCAGAACATGGAAAGATTGGTTTATTTTCAGGGAACTTTCCGAGACAATGTGTGTAAAGTCCAGAGGAGATCTGATCACTCTTTGTTGAAAATCATGAATATCAGACGACTATTGACTGTACGCTGAATAAATACATAAAACAGTCACCGCGTTGTGCTATAAGTACACCTACAACGCGTCGCACTTACGACGTGTTTTGTGAGATGGATCGCAGGACGCGTCACATCGTAGGGAGGCGACGTGTCACAGCGCTGCGACGCATCATAAGTTACGATGAGTTTCATGAAATCGGTGCATGGTCCCAGAGCGCACAAACTTCTTTCAAGTGATACAGAATGGCTATTTACTGGACGTCCTTTCGTGCACCTGGTGTAAACAATGGGCTATTACATTGTAATCCTATACGAGAGCACTGCCCAGCCAACAGCCAGTCTCTTCACAAGTGACAGTCAGTCAGTGGGTCAGTCAGTCATTGAGATACATGTAGGTACAAAGATAACATAAGGTTGGCCCTTAAGGACCAGCAAATACCATACAGTTTTGGGGCACTTTGGGGCGGTACAGAGACATTTAAGCCAAAAGAGGAACTCAAACCTTTTCAAATTCATCCCAGTCGTAATGCTCGTCTCCGATCACCATGTCCATCAATTCTTGGGGGTGGAACAAGTTGAAGACCCGCCCCCCACAGACATGTAGGAAACCCTGACTGAAGAAGCTGTACTGTTGCTCCACAGAGGTGTTCAAGACATAGTCTACGTAGCTGTCTACGTACTCTTGCCTGTTAGATGACAAGGGTCACATTGATTTCGTTAAAGGTACATGTGATTAGAAACGATCATGGAAAAGACTGACAGGGGTGGCTTCACAGAATCTTGTGAAGGAAGTTGGGATGGCATTCTGGGTAACTTATCATGACCTATGTATAAAGACATACGGCTGCAGCTGTTTAAGACCGCAGTTAGCCAATGTGCGCAAATGCTATCCGGAAACTTTCTCATAGAAACAGTGATTTCTTTTTCATTGCGGACCATGTGGACAAGTTTTGAGCATTGCATAATATGCAGTTTGACCCATAACTTCGAAACGGAGCCTGAGCAAGTGACGAGAATCGGAAACTTACAAAAGAGATAAGTTTTACAGATTTTCCTACATTATTACGCTTTCCAATCAGAGCGTGAATTCATCAGCCTTTCCCAGCATCCTGTTTGCAGGGTGGGGGGTACGAACGAAGAACAAATGGCCTCTATTTTGACCTAACATGAGGGAGTAAAGTGCAAAGAACACAAACTTTAAGCCGGCCTCAGGTCGACCTTGCGAGGACACGGATCACTCAGCGACTGATTTTCAGGATCAAGCTGCGCCTGAGTTACGACTGTTGGGAACATTTCAGTCGCCCACTTTTTTTTACCTAACTGCGACGATATTAAAAGACCAGCAACAGTCAGCGCTAAAAAAAAAAAATTAACAGTCGCAAGAGCAGAAAAATTTCAACTTCTGTGCCCTGACAGAATGTGCTCTGGACAGGCAGGTATCAATCGCATTTGACCTGTGTGAAGTTACGGCGTCGTTTGCGCATCCATTTCATTTCATTTCATTGTGTTGCCAATCAGCATGCGGCACAAGTGGCCGATCGAACAGAAGTGGCCGTAGAAGACCGTTTGATTGTTATCAGCACACACACTGCCATTTTGAAGTCACATGTTCATGTCTCCGCCACGGAATCCTTGTCGCGGGTGACATTAACATGGTCGTAATTTTTTTGTGTCGAGATGTTGCTTGTTCCACGATAATCACACAATTTCTCTGTTTGTGACCTGAGAATGACTTGTGTCCTTGTTGCCGACGGTTTCATCGCGACGCAAGCAAATCGCTGGTCCACCTGAGCGTGGCTTTACTTTTGATTATAATCACTCCTGGACAGTGAGTATCTAGATTGAAAAAAGTGAGCTTTCAACTTTTGGTGAATTGTTCACGCTCTAGTGATTTCCTTATGACTGAGGATTGATTTGATCCTAGGGAAAGCCAACAGATCTTTATCATGCTGCCACCATTTCAGTCATGTTCCCTGTATCCAATAAGAGTACTGAATGATAATGTTTTTTGTGCAAAAGGAACCAGCCTATTCTTCCTTCCAGCCTCGCTTTAGTTACGTTGATTTGAATGGGAAAAATCATGACGGCCACAACATGATAATGGTCTATTTAGTAACAGATGTGGTAAGGAAAAGCTGGGGCACATGTTGTTTTCAACCAACGAAATGTCACGGTTTTTCATCACACGGCCGCAAAATTTGTGGTCACATGACCAGTTATAGCCCTAAACAGCTGACCTGTTCTCCATGGTAACTTCAAGCTCAGCCCCGCCCGGTTTCAACTCATCCGTTTCCATCTCGCCATAGTTCTCCATGGTGATCTCAAAGGTCAAGCAGAGGTCATGGAGCGCCTCGGCTTCCTCAATGTCTAGTAGGTTCTGGAGGTTTGTGGCAAATAATGGATCCAGCTGCTTGAAATCTTCAAGAGACTTGGTCGGTCTGTGAAAAAACAACAGATCCTAAATAAATCTGACAATCGACGCACTAGCCATTGTCAGACTTTCAAATGTTGAGTCTGTGTTCAGACTATGAGCTCCGTGCGCCAACAAAAGAGGGCGCCCTTTTACCTAGCAACGACGTCCCATTGGCGGGACATTTAGCTGGTTTACACGCACCGCTCCTTGTGTGTGACGCACGTACACCAGGGGATTTGTGCTATGTACACGCAGTGGTACAGCCGCGCGTCGCAGCAAAATTGCAGTCAGGCAAGATGGCGTCGGTCGGTCACCCCCAACTGTACTTTCTTTGCCGGTGAGGGGGTACTTGTGAACGGAGTGGATACACATACATGCATCACTATGAGTATTGTTTTCGTTTTGCTGAAAGAACACTTACTTTTTTTGTGATCCGTGGGCAGAACTTTAAAACAGTGTTTGTGTTTGTTCAAAATTCCATAACTTGATAAGTGCATGAGTGATTTGAATGATTCTTGTGCTAAAAGAAAGCTTAATGACTGGGCTTTCGTATCCTAGATTATGAAAGTGCCACAGGCAAACTTTTCCTGCCATTTGGGTTTTGTTTTTGTATTTCTCATCCTGCATACTAAGGATGTGACTTTGTGTTTCAATTTTTTAAACGTTAAGCAAATATCTTAAGAACCGTTTAAACATTTAGCCATTCACAAAGACTAATGCATGCTCGTTATGTCTGCAGACCAGTGTGATTGACATGATAAATCAACAATGGCAGTCACCGAAAAGGTAAAAACTTAAACTTCATGTGCTCTGAGTGTAATCAAGTTAAGTAATGAAGTGCTTTAAAGGTTTGGTAGAAACATTGTTAATTATTTGTCCTACGTAGGTTTAACTCAAAGAAAGACTGCATACGTAGGACCCTTTTTTATAATTTGGGTTTTGTTTAAACGTTTTAGGAAAGTTTGTAAACGAATTTAGAATTGTTTTCGTTTAAAGCCAGAGTCCATCATTTGCAGCTATCCCAAAAGCAACTGGCATAATTATTGTTATTGTTAAAACATACTTGGTTGAAAGATAGTAAGGGGACTAAACTCCCTGTGAAATTATTCATTCTGGCAAGCTGTCATTTTGAAGAAATCAATGAGAGAAGAACTTTCCAACGGTGCGTCTTAAGAAGCACCGTTGGAAATTTCCGTTACTAGTTCTTTTTTTATTCGGTGAAGCACGCACAAGCGTTGACACGACATACACGCGCGCAGTTGCTATAATTCGTCGGATCAGTGAGCGACATCGCGTAGCTGCAATCGGCTCAGTGAGAACGCGTCTCGGATGCTGAATTCAGGCCCAATTCAAAACATGATTCAGCTACTTTTGATTTGAATCCGAGATCCTAGAATGTTGTTTTTCTCGGAATATACAGCTGAAGCTGAGCTGAAACTTCATCAGGTTAGTTGTTCAGCACCCTTCTTTAGATTTTGAGCACTTTTGTTGCTTCAAACGAACAAAATGCACAAATTACAAATGATGGACTATATTTTTAAACGTATAAACATCTCACATTCTTAGACTATACTCACCTGTTGAGCAGTTTCCTGTAGAGAGCCAAGGGGAATGGCAGCGATATAATAGTCAGATTATAGATGGCAAGACCAACGATGATTCCAACCAATCGAAACATCTCACCGTCCTCAAAAGACTGAAATGAAGAGAGCAAATGATAGGTCTTTAAACAAAATATGCTGAAGGTCTGAGAGTTAATCAGGTATGAAGGGTATCCCTTTTATTTGGTTGGTTCTCATTTCCGACCAACCCTCTTTTGGGATCCTGACCCAAGAAAAAAAAATTACAGCCGACCCTGTCTGAAACCCATTTACAAATTAAAATATATAACAAATGAAAATAAGCATTGGAATAAGCTGAACAATAACAAAGACAAGAATGTATTGTCCGCACTTACTTTGCTGTTGAACCAGATTGTCTCTGTTCCTTTGTAATGCCGGAACATTCCAAACTTGGGCGAGAGAATTTCCCGTAGCACCAACATAAAGAACTCCTAATAAGAAACCAGATGAGACAAAGACGTATTAGAACCTACGTTCTGTGGATTTCCATACCAATACTGAAAAATAAATAGCTTAGTTGAGTATAGATTAGCAAATTGGCTAATTAATTAACACGTTTTCACTAGTTAAGCAGTAATGTTGTGCATCGGGTCGGGTTGACCAGGCCAAACCAACACCAATATTACAGATAAAAACCGAATCCGAACCGAAACCGATCTGAACTCCCTAAAACTGACCCGACCCAACCGACAAAAATTCGAGCAAAAAACCGACCCGACCCAAAGAAACCCAAATGTCTGGCTTGGGCAACTGTGTCCACTTTTTGTGCCTGAACTGACCTGCGTCATGTGAAAATCGTCCATCTCTCAGTAAAGAATCTTATAGTACAGTGAAGACTCATATACCTAGTGGGACTACATGTTAAAGACTGTGCGTCATAGACTGCAAACCACATGCGCATTCGCGTGGTGGGTTGAAGTCGGTCGTACCGGGCACAGCAACTCTGCAATAATATTGCACCGCGTGAATCTCTGAAATGTTTCAGATGTTTTTCCGGCTTATTAATTTTTGGGGGGAGGGGATTTTCACAAAAAATTCCCAATCAGACAAATTGGACAAATTGCCATGAACCACATCACAACAGCTAGTGTTATATGACGGTAGATTATACACTTTTATTGGTCCAACATCGATCACGTGTCATGCCACAAACACGCATGTACAACGACGTACGGCGCGTGCGCGTGGTACACGAGTGATATTCCCCACGGGGTACATTACCTTTTCTTTCCCGTTGTTGAAAATGTTGTTTTCTTGCGTTGTTTTATAGTTGTGTGACTTTGAGTATGAGATAGCTACGCTGGTACTACGTAAATCGATCTTTACGAGATGTGCCATGGGGGACAGTGAATCAATATTTCTGCTATGACTGCCATTGCTGTTTACATTGCTCGTCACTGTTCGTCTGCTCTTTTTAACAATGCAAATTTCGCCGTAATTTCACCAAAATAATGTCGGCATGTGACAACAGGTCACCTCCTATAAAAGAAGAGGTTTCTCTCTCATGCCAAAGACGAGATCAGAAATTTGATTTTCGAACAGGACAGCATCGGCTTGGAAAAATAGAGAAAGTTCTGTGCGAAAAGTTTGCCAAAAGCGGCCGATTGTGTATCGCAACAGGAAGAGACCCACAGTTTCAGACGTTAGTAATCTATTACCGTGGTATAACAAAACAATGTTGCCTGCTATGGCGGGGTCCATGGGTTTTGAACACCCTTGGGGGCAAATGTTCACCTCGGGTGCCATTTGTCCCCTCGGGTGAACAAAACACCATGGAGCCTGCCACAGCAGGCAACAATCGTCGTATAATGATTACCTTCTTGACACCTCCAGCATCGATCCCTTCCTCCCCGGTGAAGATCACCCTCAACGGTTTCTTGAAGTCCATGCTGCCGTGTCTAGACAACTCTGTCAACGTACTGTGGACGATGTTATTCCTGACGATAGTTAGCACCAGGTAGGGGTTGATGGAATCAAAGAAAAATCGCTGGCTGTTGCGTCGCTGAACGTCTTCTATTGCATTCTGGGATAGGAGGGGAGCAAAAAGGCAAACACCGCATCAAGATGAGAACAAGAATTAGCACACTGGCATTTGCGTAGAGCTATTTTGAAAGGCATTAACTACTATTATCAAAATGCTTCTACTGGATTATCGTACTAAACACCCCGTAAACTTTTCCATCTGGTATTTCACTGTTGTCTCCAAAGGGTATTATTTACTGAGCTGAAACTTCAACAGGTTAGGTTTTTAACATTGGTGTTGCTAAATGCGTGAATAGCAACTGATCTTATAAGCCTTAATTACCAGACAGCTAACTCGTAGTACACAATGTAGTTTGCTGGGCGCGCGTGTTTGTGCACAAAATTATGGAAAGCTAAACATTTTTACAGCTTTTTTGGACTGCTATTTGGGCAAACCGAAATGAACCATCAGTATAAATGAATGTCATATTGCTCCATGCAAACAACGCACATGTGCACATATACATGTACCTTCATACTTTTTAAGTCTGGCATACTTGTATATGTGCACGTGCGTATCTTGTGCGCGGCTGTTACATTCAGAGTAGGCATTGGACAATCACGGCACACGTAATGTTGCCCAAGTGCGCACAGTGGGCGGGGCCTATAATGAATCAGTCTTCTGTGTCAATCCTTACCTGCATTTGAAGAATTGCATCGTCTTTAAGCAACTGCGTCTTGGCGTTAGCATCCAGAACAAACGGATAATCACAAAAGTTGACATCGTGACACTACCAAACAAAAACAAAAACAAGAACAGCTAGAAGTTTCAATAAAGATATGTTGGAAAGACCAAAAGCCCTCGACTTTTGCATTTGCTGGAAAGGAATACACATTTCTCTATTAGAAAGTGTGATTATGCAGGGTTCGTCCTTAACTCTTTTTCTTTTCACTAGCTAGTCGGACTAGTGAACCAGACTCTTATCCAGTTCAATTAATTAATTAAATAAATTATTTTTAATTATAAAAATGTCCTTATGGTATTTAGAATAAATGTATTCACATCACATTTTCGGCCCAAATAATTTTCGGCCCAATATTTATTGGCGACACAAAAGCTATCAAAACTGGACTCTCAAATAGACAAAACTTTGGGGGAAAAAATATAAAAGTCACGAAAAGAAACTACCCAACACTGTCCATGGGGGACGGTACCAAGCAGTATCAGTGAGCACAGACTACCATGTAAACCGGCACAGCTATGCGTTATCAGCGCAAGTACTAGCGTTAAGACCTCTAAATAAATACAGAGAAGTGGAATATGCAGACACAGAAAAGAGAGATAGATATGAATTGAGTCGTAGAAATCTTCTTTCTCCACTGATGTTTTCATGACAAATTCTACAATGTCAAACTCGGCCAGATTACACTACATAGGCCATGACTGTTAACGAGCGGCGTCCCATGCCTTGCTAATTGCCAGAGTAAATAGAGGCCGCTAAACTAACTATTACAGCATATGGGCACCTAAGGGCCCACTGACTATAAGTGCTATTTTTTACGACTAAAGGTAATTGTTATGAAAAAGTCGGCAGGAAGAGAGAAGCATAATTCACTACAGTTGACATAGTTAAAGGTGTGTACCAGGGTACGGGTAATAGTAGTCACCACTCATTCAAGCTCCAGAGAAGTGACAAACAGCATGCATGCACTATAGCTCCCGAACTTATAGCACAAAGTATACAAGACTAATGTTATTCTGAGCTCTTTACACACAAACATCAGGTGACACAAGAAATGCATTGTTAATTCTCCTCCACTGGTCCCCCCCCGGCCAACTTTCTTTTTGTATCTTCTGATGTACCTACCAGTATTGCCGTAGAATCGTGTCAACGCACCTTGTGAAATATTGTCCAATAACATGATATACAAATGGACGCGGAACGCGCAGAATCTGAGACAAACAAAACTTGACATACAAAATCCCATTGGGTTGTCTAAGTGGCGTGGCTAACTCTCAAGTCCATACTGTGCTGAGACCCACAAGGCATAGGCTCTGAACAGCTCGACCAACAGGAGTTATTCACCAAATTCTCACCTCCATGCTGCTCGGTCTTTGAAGCCACTCCAGGAAATGTTCTCGGATGCCAACATTGTCCGTTAGCTCTTTGATGTAGAAGAGGTAATACGGAAGAATTTCATTGTTCTCATTGTTCATCTAAATTCAAGTGAAAGTAAAATAAAGGAAAATTAAAAGTTAAGCTACTTATCAATTCCATAACAGCATTTTTTTTTAACGCCCACTACTAGAAGACATAGTGATTTGGTTATTGTTAAGTTCCCCCAGAGTTTACATACGTGTATATTCCAATGTGAGAGAATGAAACAACATTCAAATTGAAATCATGTGAGTAAATAGTATTGATTGTGGTAAAATGCCTTGCCCAAGGACAAGAATCACCGACTCTTGGACGGGACACTGCGTGTCAGTCATAGAGTTATATTTAAATTGTATGCGTACTGTACTGTTCGCCTTCGCGCACGGAGTACACACTACTTATTTCTCCTGAATGTGCACCATCAGGCATGAGTCGGCATTCAAATACATTCAAATTAAACTTGCGATGGTCTCCAAGACTAATCCCTGTCCCCAATAACTTCGGTCATTCGAAATACGCAGTGGATGGACCGGGAACCAGTCTAGGTCACCCCAACTCTCCTTTTTTTTTGGCCGTTGAAGAGGTACTAGTGCACAGAGCCATTCTGGAGGCAAACATTTGACGGCAAACTGTATCAATTGAGTACATTTTACAGATTGTGGTAAAATGCCTTGCTAAAAGACACTAAGGTAAGTTGTTGCGGTAGGACACTTAACACCCAGCCTGAATACGGTTCAATAATAGCCTTTTATGAGGTAAATATGTGACAGCAAACTGTATCGAGTGAATCCACTACAGTGGAACACCGCTATAACGAACATCGCGGGATCCAAAGAAAATTTTCGTAATAGTGATCGTTCGGTAAAGCGATTTTAAGCTGCCGGTGCTCTGGTACTCACTTTTCAATAAATAGCGCCCTTCAGAACTTCACCCTGCACACCATGGTAGTTACTGACTATTGAATTATGAAATTACACAGTTTTGAGCTTACAATCGGGAGCCAAGGATGATGTTCAGTATAGCCGAATGTTCGTACAGCAGTGTTCGGTATAGCGACATTCCACTGTATATTGATTGTGGTAAAATGCCTTGCTTAAGGACACTAAACACCCACCTTGCATAGTTTGCTGAGTACATCCAGACATATCTTGATGTTTCTACGGAGCATGGGTCGGTCGGCGGTGTTACGTTTCCTGCTGAGTTGTCCCATCATGCAAGACTTGTAGGTCGTCAGGATACGATTCAAATGACGCGGTTGTAGCGTCGACCACCACTGGGCTGCAAATGTAAATCCAAAACATTTCAATTACGCAAAGGGACTTTAAGTTTGCATTACTTTACTCTGTTAACGTTACTTGTTTTTACTTTTTTGGCCCAGGTTCAAATCCAACCCAGTGCCATAAATGGTAAATTTCACAAGCAGACAATTCCCAAAAAAACCCCGTAGAAATGTGTTTGTGTACAAATACAAATATGGGAGGTCACATAACACCTGATGAAATCATCATGATGTCACTGAAATTTACATCTATATTTTCCTTTCTATGTTCTAACTACTGATTCAACCCAATCTGAATTTTGTACTTAAAAATTAGATATACTGGTAGGGCTTTGAAAAATGAACCTGTAATGTGATGCAACATAACACCTGATTAGGTCATTGTGGCGAAAATCTTCGACATACACATGACATACATCTTCAGGTGGGTGGCCTAAGTGTGTGCCAAGTTTGAAGTCAATTGGATTTATGAAAGTGCCAAAGTGTATAGGGAGAAGGAAAGGAGTCTGAAAAAAACAGGGAAAAAGGGGGGGGGGAGGGTGAAAAAGACTTTAAAGAAAACAAGAGCTGATTCGGAGTACTCTGAAACAGCTTAATAAAAAAAATCTCCACTTACAAATGACTTTGGCCCCTGCACTGGTGACGTTGCATAAGGCCTGTCCAAACTGAACCACGGTGGTCCCATAGCGCTCAGGGGAGGGGTCGGTGAAAACGGGTGATTCCATTAGCAGTAGGTAGAGTCTGAGTGCCTCGATGTCTGGAGGGGACGAGGGCAGGGTGGGAATGAGATAGGTGCCCAGGATTTCTGCCATCTGTGTTGAAAAAAAAAAGAAAAAATAGAAAATACAGTTAAGTGTACAACACATACATGTACACTGTACCTAAATCTTGTTTCTAAAAAGGGGTGGGGTTTGTTGGGGTGGGGTTTGTGGGGGGTTGGGGTGCGTGTGTTTGTTTCTGCATTCAAAAGGGGACGTTTAACAATAGAGGACAATAAGGTCTCCAATTCCCAAAGGTCCCCAATTTACGATCCTGTACAAAACGAGACTCAACTTGGATTCCAGTCCTCCAGCACTTGCGTACGGTGGGGGGTTGGGGACAAGCCAATGTATACGTATGCCGAGTGATAGTTTGCCTTTAATCATTTTTCATGAAATCAATGTACATTCTCATATTTAATACCTATACCGGGACCATGAATTGAGCCCATGGAGCCCATTGCCAGGAACAAAACTGACAAATAAAAAAACAATTGTACGAGAGCCTGTCCTCAATCCAATATACCGTTGCAAGATACGGTGGTTGGTAACTACGCAACAGAACAGCAAAATTGCCTATCACAGCCTATCACCATGGTAACGATACACAATACCCAAGGCCACATACATGTACATGTAACCTCAAAGCTGATGTAATTATACATGTACCGGTATATACATGTATGTGGTTGGGGATTTCATGTACCTGTGTGATATACACGTAATGGCATATAGAAATGGCAGGCCAAAGAGATTGTACATAATGAACCAATGTGCATGCCTTGCCACATCTTTACCACAATGTGTCCATTGTTATTTTGAATCACATACATTTGTACGTGTTCTACATACCGGTAATACCCCCCGAGGACCGACACACAAAGGGAGAACAACAGATCCTCTCCTCAGGTGTTGGGTCTTTTATTGAAAACGGTCCTCTATCGTACCGTAATGTGCTTACATTGTAGTCTATGGGAGAGTGATATATTACAGGGACAAAGAGCAACACAAAGCATTGTCCTCGGGAGTATAGTAAAACACAACTGTCTGTACTTGCATGTACACTGCACCTGGCAACACCTGTTATCAGGAAATTCAGGTTTAAAGAGGTTGTGGAATGCTGAAAGTCGTTTTGTTTTTGTATTTTTTTATTGTAGAGTAGACCCATTTATATCATAATGACAAACTACCATTCTTTTGTAATGTGCGTTTATATGTTTATAAAACTGAAATTCATCGAGTAATTTGTTGGTCGGCCAGCACATAATTGAAATCAACAGTCGTTGGGTTCTTCATAAAATCAGAAAAATCGTGACGTACGTGTAATAAACAGGACTCGTTTATACTACGCTGCATCTATAGGGAGTCCTGTTTATTACGTCATGATTTACTATGTTTTGTTTGCTGCCCCCAACAACGACTTTTACACTAATTGCACATTCGGGTCAAAACAGGACCTGAAAAACGGCTCTCAAAAGTACCTTTTGTACTCATTTCATGACAGACACAATAGTCGTTTTTATTTCATCACACCTCAGGATACATATACCCGAAAAATGACGGAAATGTCTTCGAGCATTTCACAACCTCTTTAAGGTTTTCAATAATATAAGATGTGCAGTATTAGTATTGTTTCCATACAAAATGGATTAGTTTTAAAGATCTTCAAAAGGGGGATCGACCAAAACAAAATTACATTTGCATCACTGAGAGCAGAAAAAAGGGTAACAGGACCCCATAATTCAGGGCTCCAGATCGGTTCTTCATTGCAATATATTGTTCTTAATCTTAAATTTCAATCAACTTACAATCATATTATAATTTTTTGAGGTTTCTATTAATAAATTATTTTAGTACTTTGTTAACATTGCTTTATACTGGGTCCCTCATATCAGGGTCTGTGCATTTTCTTGAAAATTGTGCTTGATGATGTGAAAAGTAAACCAAACCAAGCCAAACCAAACCACAAAGAAATTCACTAAGCCATGATTTACTTACAATGTTATGCAAATTGCTGCATTATTAAGATAATGTGACCATTGTTTTTGCGATGCAGGGTTATGCAGTGATGTAGCGGAACATTTTCCATGGGGGAGTTTACTATTTCTTCCTCCAAAGTTTCAGTTTGCCGTCGACAAACATCATGCCCAGCGCAAGTGGTCTATGTGCAGAGAGTGCACTCAGATCAGATGTACTGTTACTATACCTCATACATATTCATGATTGAGAGCCAAACTCTCACTGGTCAATTCACCATCACGTACCAGATGTTATTTTTGCTGTTTACCAAGCGCGCACGCGAGGATTCACGCGCAGGGTAAATACGCATGCGTAGTAGACTGTCGCACGGGTTACCCGAGCGACAGTCTACTACGCATGCGCTTTACAAAGCAATCGAGGAACTGTCGCACGGGTGTAGTACGCATGCGCGAGCATCGCCCAAACGAGCTACACACGAAGAGATGGTTAAGGTTGCACGGTGCGTTATTTTCCCGAGCTCAATGATGCCGAACTAGAGAATATTTATGGCAATATACATGATATAGATGCCTCCTGTACAAAAGAATATTGTACACAAACTATTTACAGCTGCACTGTATGATAAATGAACTGAACTAGTGAAGTTGAGCAATATGATTCTTTTAGAGAATTGTACAAGTTTTTCAAAAAAAAAGTTGTTTGAGGTTCCTTCATGCAACGGAAAAAAACAAAACAAATGGCGCTGAATATGTATGAGGTATAGTAAAACAAATATAACATGGTTTATTTCGGGTGGACAGCCGATATTCGCTCCCCTCGGTATTGGAAGTTGACAAACTAGTTCCCTCAGCTTCGCCTCGGGAACTAGTTTGTCAACTTCCAATACCTCGGGGAGCGAATATCGACTGTCCACCCTCAAACCATGTTATATTTGTATACTAGCCTACATTTTCCCGCTGCGTTTTCTACACTGTTTGCATTGTAGTCCAATACCATGTTTTTTTACACCCCCCCCCCCCCTTTTTGCTATGCCACTAGTCTATGTCCAAGGGCGGATCCAGAACACAATTTTTGGGGGGCAAAAAAAAATTTGGGATTCTAGATGCTCTGTGGTGCGATCTGAGGCAATTTCTGACCACTTTAACCAATGTTTTTTTTTAGGAAAAGATGTTGGTGTACTCATTGCCTGCCTTTATTGCGATGTCACATAAAAAAAAAAAAAAAATTGGTCTCGTTTTTTTTGGGGGGGGGGCATGGCCCCCTTTGGCCCCCCCCCTGGATCCGCCCTTGTCTATGTCTCAGTACATGTAGATATGTTATGAATGATGTACAGTAATCAATAGACATACCAGCAATATAGTGGTACGATCTTGTGTGGAGCATAAAAATTATTGATGCGGCACGAGCAGTCTTAATGCGCAATTACATTACACTGTTACGAGCTATTAATGAGAATATAAAACAGCATACCGGTACATCTTGACAATGCCTGTGCACTTGTCTGAGCATGAGCAAGTCAGCTAGCACTGTATTCAACACGTTATTTCGTGGTGTCAAATATATTATGCAAATTCCTGTTGACCTATGATGTCCCTTCCTGGAAAAATTATATCTTTTATATTTTACAATGTACATGTAAAAGCAAAGTGTAAAGGAGAAGACTTTTTATTTATGTTGTCCATATACACCTTAATTAGCTCTTTATGGACTTAACTATGTCTAAGGGAAACAATGTTGGCAAATTTGTAGACGACGTCACGTGAAACGTCATCACGACATGTATGCGAACAAGATCATGTAATTTTTAATCGTCTACAAAAACTAACCAATCACAAAATTGCCTCACAATTAAATATGAATTAATTGCGCAAGAGACATGATAGGGTACTCTATAAAAGACAGACGTGGTCTTCCATTTAGTGGATTCTGCCGACAGTTTGGCGCTGTGTTTGTCACATTCCTTTGTTTGATAAGCTTCATTTGCATGTATTGCAACCGCCACATGCTACCACTTCATTGACATATAGTGTAAAAACTGTACACTGCGACAGGAGAATAATGCTACCAAGCTGATTGATGATTCCTACACATAGCGAATGTCTCTTCTGGATGTGTTGTGATAAGGGACATTGTTAATTACTACATCTCATCTGTAAGTATTAATGTTAACTTCTAACACTAAATTATGTCAATATTTCTGTTGTTCAACTTCTTTGTACATGTTGTACATGTACTTCAAGTTATACTTGTTGAGAGATGATGAGGTTAGGATCATTACAGAGAAGATGAAGGACTAGTTCTTCAAAGAACTGTGACTTGTGAGTCACAAAGGAATTTCTTTATTTGTTTTCTTTTCCTTCGAAATTCCCGTAGGTGTAGAATTTTCTGAAATTACCTTAAAATAAGGAAATTATATTAAAAGTGGCAGCGCAGCACCGCGTGCGATGGACTGCCGCAGCAAGGTTTTATTGCTATTCTGGATGCTATTCAGGTGTAATTTGGGTACTCGGCCAAAACCAGCCCAACAACTAAATGCATTTTCAGATGTTGAATACATGTACGAGTGCCTAATTTGAAACTTGCGGATGTTTATGTCGAAATAAATGCAATTGAATCGTAAAGCTGTATTTTCAGTTTGTGTAACATTTCATTCGGTTGTGGGAAACGCATTCGATTCATAAAAATACATGTATGTTACGTTTTTGTTACGTTTGTGTATTACGTTTGTGTTACAGTTACATTGTGTTCCATTTGCTTTCAGCCACTGAAAAAGCCAAATATCTCAAGCTCTATTACTTTCATAAGCCCAACACCCTCAAAATGGTGTATCTCTTCAACACAACCAACCTTATAGAACTGAAAAAACTCGTTAAATTTTGCTCTCAAATCATGGACAAGTTTAAGAATATTTCATGTTGTTGTTACTGGTGCCTAGTTGTATACTGTATTTCTTCTCTTTCTTTCTTTTATTTGTCTTGTAGTAAATTATGTGTCTTAATTAAATTCCTAGTTTATATTAAATTATTTTTATTTTTGTAACTGTGTATTGTAATTTAGCTAAATATTTTAAATTGTAATTTAGAAGTTCTCTTTTGCCTCAGTAGTGGCCGTACAGGGGAATAAAATTCAATACATTGTCATTCAATTCAATTCATCCATTGTGTAAATTTCATTTGGTTTTGGAAAATGCATTGGATTTATACAGAAGTACTCTCGGTTTTTAAATTTCATAAGGTCTATTTTGACAATGCATTCAATTTGCAAAGATGTACATGTACATGTATGTTCGGTTTTGAAAAATGCATTTGGGTGGTGAATACACATTTGATGTTTTGAAATATCTTCTGTTTCAAAATGCATTTGATTTAAAGACATTCGTTCGATTTTTAAAGTGCTTTCGTTTTTGGAATATACCGTATGCATTCCGTTTTCAGAAATAACGAATAGATCTTGAAGTCTGCACATTTGATTTTCAAACACACATTCGGTTTGTTCAAAATATATGTTCCAATCTTTTTTACTCTAAATCTACTTCGTAGAAATACCAGAATGGCTTTTCTGTTCTGGCATCATCTCCTAATTCTTACAAAGTCTCCATTTATCTTTCAGATCAACAATTGACTCAGTTGGTATTAAAGACAGATGACGGTTTCTGTCCACTGAACAGCTACACACTAGTAGGGTTGATATTCTAGGGTCTACAGCAAGATTAGAACCAGAAAATGGCAATCACTGTGATCCTGCAAGCACGTGCACTCCTGCTTCTCAGTCTGTGCTGCTTGGCCTGGGGAACACTAGATCTTCCTACAGTTGTGCAAGTCCATGCAGGCCAGAAAACCCACATTCTGTGTACCTACACATGTCAAGAAGCAGATAGTTGTAACGTCCAACTGAGCTGGAAGAATCGGCCTCCCGAGTTCCGCAGTTTGGAAGGATACTACAATGCCACTCATCACTCCCTGAAGATGACTGTCAAAGCTGGCAGTCAAGAAGTGAAAACTTCTCAGATCATCACCTGCATTGCCATGACGACTAATGGAACCATTTTGGAGGAAGTGTCAACCCATCTAGAAATCTGCCGAACTGAAACAATGATGTGCAGATTCCACAAGGAGCCACTACAAACGTCACCCACTGTCCGTATATGTGCCTGTCATTACCAATCCGACTGTGCGACACTACTGAAATGCCAAAGTTATGAAGAAAGGTCGCCAAGATATCTTGGTTATAATGACACCGGCTCATGGAAGGTGGAGGTGTATGAATTCATTGCTCTGAAGCCAGGAGACAATGTGACTTGTCGTCTTGATTCGCATTCAATTGAGGAGCATCTCCAGACAACAGTTGAGCTCACGCTGCCAGAAGAATCCTCACCAAAGACGACAACCCAGGCAACGACAACAAAAACACTGACAACCTCACCCACACTGACACCAAATCAGTGTCCCGGGAACTCATGTGACTGTGCACTTCCTTGGGGTTTGTTTGCCATGATCGTCTTGATTGCTGTATTAAGTATCGGAGTCGGTTTGGGAATTGTGTACCAGAAAAAATGGTCAAGTTCCAGCAGGTCTACCCGATGTTCCCCAATGTCTATGGTCCCCAATGCTGGTGTTCCCCAAAATCCTTAGGATTGGGGAACATCAGCAGTGGCGTAGCCACCGGGGGGGCGACCGCCCCCCATGAAACCTTGTCGCCCCCCCCAGTCGCCCCCCCCCCCCCCCCCCCCCCCCCACTGAGATTTTGAGTTTCTAAAAAGTTATCATTGATCTACATGACGGCACGGGCCCTATTATGTACTACAATGTATCTTTTGCTTAAAAAATATTGGTTAAAGTGGTCAGAAATTGCCTCAGATAGCACCACAGACCATTTAGAATCCAAAAATTTTTCGGGGCCCTTAAGCGGGCCCCGAACCCACGCATATAGCTCAGAATTCTGGTAGCTGATTCAATGACTCCAACCTCAAAAACAATGTTCACAAAATTTTCTTACACGTATGCCTTTAGCTGAGAAAACCTCGAAAATTATGTTTAAATTATTATCTTTTGTGCTAAGATAATTATTGGTTAAGGTGGTAAGAAATTGCCTCAGATCACGACACAGAGCATCGAAAATCCATCAGTATTGGGGAATATAAGTAATGGGGAACATGGGTGTATACATCCATGTCTTTGCCACTTAAGGTAGAGTTGCAAATTGTAAGGTCACCAAAATGTGCAGACAAACAATGAGCTCTTT